TCCAAACTTCGCCCATATTCAGCGAATTCTTACTTTTTTTAAATAACTATTCAACATATCTCTTCGTCGCATTATCACTAATATTGCTATAACTTTGTTCTTAGTTTAGGATTTTCAGGCTCTTTGGAGCTATCCCTTAGTGTTCCCTTGTATTATGTATTATAGAATGTACCTAATATTACAAGTATAAGTTCCGTAACATTCTATACCTTCTCCGTACTTCGCATACTCTTCCACTATTTCGTGATAATCGACTTAGCAATATATATATATATAACCTGCGTCCTTTGTATATGTATATAGATATATTGCTGCCTGTTACTCTCTTAGTTTGATTATTCTTTTGTCGGTTTAGTCGTTGTTTTTAAAAGAACCACGTTCCGAAAAAAAATTTTAAACTCGATTATAGACCAACAAACACACCTATGCCTACCCATTTCGTTACCTATTACTAGTATACGTGCATACTCTTTTACTATTTGCAGCAGTATTACTGTATACTTGTGAAACAGGGTTTTCTATACACATTCCTAAAGATATTATACATTAGTTATTCGAAGAAGCTACCTCCCCGTATCCCGGGCGCAGAACGAGTATCATAAAGTATAGGTGTAATTATAAGTGTATTTGTTTTTGTAAACAAATTGTTAAACGATTATAAAAAAAAAAAAAAAAAAAAATTTAATCGCTCCGTGAATTCTTCGTCTTTACTTCGTGCTATGCTATTTACATACAAAATAACGGATGGATTTTCATGGCCAATGTTGCGAGGATCTTTACTTGCCATTTTTAAACAAATTGATTAACAATATAAATCATACAGAAAAATTAAAATTCATTTCGACTCGTAACTGGTAAAAAGTACGCGTCTCGTTCGTTCAGCATTAGATATAGAAATTTTTATCCTAAAAAATCTTTACTCGCAGAATACTGATTTATATGTATATGTGTATAATATTTGTGAATGCATATGTACGGTCAACTCAGAGGATGGCGTCGTCATGACCTTTATGTATTTAACGAATTCATTTTTTTTTCAATTGGTCCTATCAAATCTAACTTCTATTATTATTATTCGGACTCAGGGGACTCCCTATGTTATCGATTTCACGTTGTGCGCGCGAAATTTTGACTTTATCTCTTGGCGTACCGTCCTCGCCGGTCTCCATTGCGAACATCTTCATCTTCTCCTTGAAACTTAATTTTTCTGGTACTGCGCCCATTTGCAAATTTTGCTGTTGCTTCTGTTTCTCGGCCAGCCGTTTTTGTCGGGGATCTCTGTAACGTTCGAAATGTATAATGGCGTTAACACGATAAAGAAGAAGAACACGATATTGGATAGAGAAAACTGTCTTATTTTAAAGCCTGAAGAGATACGAGATATCACTGTTGGCTTACTTATAAACTTCTTGCGCGCCAATGACTCCTGGTGTTGCATTCATAAACGTTCCCCCGGGACCCTCTGGTGTTTTAGGAGATGCTAAAAGATTCTCCGCGTCGTTAATAAAATTCTGCGAAAAAGATAACGGAATCTTTAATTACACATAATTAAAAAAAACTCGCGCTTACGTCTGACTATTGAGATTACGACGATGACATTGCGAACAATATATTACACACTGAGAAGATGTATTAGTACGTAGCAGTAACGACGCAGATGACACTATCATTCGAGCGACGATGCAAGATGACTGATAATAACATTGTATGTTTAACAAAAGACACGTGAGTTGCATACTGATGTTGCGCAACAGACATATATTGCCAATGTTCTAAAGACATTCCATGCAAATGAATGAATGGTATGTGAATTATTATTCTCGTTGAACTCATTTCGATTTTATGTCAAAACAGACAATTGCAATTTTGAGAAATATACCTTACTCTGATACCTGCCAACGGATGCATTCCGACAGAATATTTAAGTTTTTAGTACGTCAAATACAGTGTGAAATTTTCTTCAAAGGAAAGACTTTCATTTTTAATCGATATAAGATAATAGTGAGCATCATAGGAATAGAGATGTTCTTACGTTTGGATCTTCTCTTATCGTGTCCATGCTTATCGTAGAGGGATTAGTCGATATTGCTGAAGACGTGTTGCGTAGAGCTGGTTCAGTATTTGCATTTGGATCGTGGAAGGAAACCCTCTTGATCGTTGTCGTCGGATGAGAACTCATCTGGACGTTTGAAGCTGTAGAACTGTTGGATCTTAGCGCACTTTGCTGCGACATCACTGCATAACTTGATCCTCGTTCTGGAGGAGGAGGAGCATCATTACCGCCATTTTGTGATGCTGACAATGAGAAAAGCAAAGAAATGTTGAAATAGTTTTTTAAACTAACAAAGACAGAATATTGGTAACTATTTAAACTCACCAGGAGGAGAACTGGGTCCATTGATTACGAGATTATCTAATCTCAGCATGCCAGGATGTAACTGATGTTGGCTTCTCAGATTGGATTGCTGCTGCTGCTGCTGATGCTGCTGCTGTTGTTGCTGTTGCTGCTGTTGATATAACTGTTGCATTTGCTGATGATGTATCTGAAGCTGCTGTTGTTGTTGCCTAATCTCTTCTTCTCGTTTTCTCTGATTCTCATCGAATTCTGCTTGCTTCCTCTTGAGTTCCTCTATTCTCCTTTGCCTCTCTCTCTCCTCATTATTCTGCTGTGTGCTGCCAGCAGGAGAGCCTGATTTTTGACTAGTACCCAGGCCTGTATTGTAACTCGGTGACATTGGACCCTGACCCAAGTTTTGATTTTGACTTTGGTTTTGCATATGCATGCCACCAGATTCGCTCTGACCACCATATGAACTTCCACCAGCACCACTACCGCTTTGCTGATTGCTTGCGGTATGTAGTGGTATGTTCGTAGACTGTATTTGACTGCTTACTGGTTGTGGTGACAAGGCCCCTCTTATGGATTGATTGTTTACACCCGATCTAGATAAATTTTGTTGTTGCTGTTGTTGATTAACTTGATTCGCCCGGTCCTGATTGGCAGCCATCCTGAGTAGTCCTTGGACACGCTGTGTACTCTCATGCTCAAGATCGTTACTCTCCTCATCGTCATCCTGCTGATTGGCTACTTCCTCGGCCCTCTTTTGGAAGTCACGCTCCAGCTGAAGTGCACGCAGTTGCTCCTCCTGTTGTGGTGTTCTGTGAGGAAGAGCACTCAGTTCAGCTATTTGTTGATCCCGCCACTGCCTTGCTGCTTCTCGTCTCCTGGCCTGTTCCTTTTCTCGTTCCTCTCGTTGCCAAGGATTCGTTGCACTATATTGGTATTGACGAGGTTGCTGAGTTGGACCTGGTGCAGTATAATAACCACCTCTGGGTGGATCCTGCATACTCGCTGTGTATCTGGAGTCCGGCTGTTTACTGTACAAAGGATGAGTCGATGTATTAGGCGGTGGAGGCGGTGGACTCTCCCTGCAAACATCTTCTGGTAGAATGGGCCTCGCTGGAGGGTTCTCTGGATTTCCTTGATGAACCTCGCTACCATTTTGTGACTTTAGGTTATCGTTGGGATACTGGCCATTTCTTGGATCTGATGCTCCGCCATTCGAGTACTGAGAACCATTTTGCGGAAACTGTCGTGATTGTTCGAGCATCTGTCTGGTGTCCATCAGTTGTCTTGCATCTTGAGGCCCGAAATCTCTACCAGGCTCTAATCCAGTTCCATGACCACGAATAGGTTCGTTTTTTCCTTTCGGACCCATTGGATACTGATTAGGCCCTGGGGTCGGTTGTGGATGTTTTCCAAATTGTCCGTATTGACTGTATTGAGACTCGGTGTACCCATAATTCGGTCCCATCTGTCGTGCATTGTACGTCGGCGAATTAGGACCCAAATTTGGTGTCGATCCAATGGGTCTTGTAGGCCGTATGGTGTTAGCTGCTTGATTAGCTCCCATTGGTCTCACATTATAATTTGGTCTGTATTGATTCAACATGGGCGCCCCACCACGAAGCTCTCGTCTTCTGACCTCTTCCTGCATCTCCTGGAGTTTTGCTTCCTGCCGAATTATATCACGAGAGGATTGCGACCTCGGCGGTGGTCCTTGATGTTGCAATTGATTATTAGAATAACTCTGTTGCTGTCCTTGTGGAATGTATGCAGATATCGGACGATCTCTACCCTGACTCATGTCAACCGTTGGCCGATTCAGTGAGTTCTGAGAACCTCTCAGATTTTTCTGAGTATGCAAAGGACTCCTGAAATCAAAAGACAATCTTAAATTATTTTAAATATAGAAGTAACAATTTTGTTGTTTTAACTCATCTATATTTCGCAAAAATGTTCACCTGTCGTCCGATGGTTGAGGTGGACTAGGCTGCTGTTTTATCGCGGCATCTTGATTTCTATAAACACTCAAGTTCTGATAGAATCTTTCCGCCTCGTTACTCTGCAAACTGTTCTGTATATTCACATGCATTTGATTTGGATTTAGATTCGGTGACGATTGCTGTCTGCTAACTAAACCTGTAGGCGGTAGCATTCCAGCTCTCATTGGATCATGCAAATTATGACTGGATCTACAACAAATTTTTTAATTAACTCAATATCAATTAAATTACTCTACGATTACCGTACTTTATGAAATTTTATTTACCGTGAACGCAGTGTTGTCGCGCCATTCATTGCTGGCATTGGTGGTGGATGAACAGGTGGCGTTACACTGTTGCTGGAAGATGCTCTACTGTATCCAGGATTAAAAACTTCATGCTGCTGTTTTCCCTCCGTTCCTACGTCTGTTAATGAAAAATTGAAAATAATTAGCAAGCATATTCACTATATGTTTGGTGCAAAAATTTGTAAAATAAAATAAAGAAAGTAAACCGAATCTTAGACAAGAATGTAACTAAACGAAGAAAGCTGTAACTATTTGATTAAAAGAGGGTCAACGTTATCCTTTTGATTTTTAAGGTATCTAATTGTTCTATAAGGGTTACTTACTATGCAGGGCTGGGACAGATTTGCTGCTATGAATTTGTTGGGGCGTTGCGTCGTGTCCAAGTCGTGATGGTAAATCACGTTCACTCATGCGACGGGGTCCTGCGATAGCAACAAGATGCACAGAAATGCAATTTGTTAATGCTTGAACATGCCGAAAGCTGACGCAATGACAAAGGTGCTAATAAACGTGCGGCAAAGAATTAATCATAACCTAATTAAATTTCACTACGAATTGTAAAAACTATTGCGACGATGGAACCTGCATTTCAGTTCGTTGTTGAAATTCTTTTTCATTAAATCGTTAAAGCCTTGTGCAAGTTACATATACACAGTGTTGAAAAATTAATGTAAGATATCTTTGAGTGACGCAGAAGCGAAATGCAGCTTTAGTATAGAATAAGAACGTCATTGATTATTTTATAAATTGTTATGGGACATGCGATGACACTTAACTAAATTATAGATTTATGGTAAATAAATAATATGAAAAAGCTGACAACCATTGGCAACGAGACACAGATAACTTTAAAGAAATTTTCACGTGAGACCGCAGCTGTGTTTTTAGGATGTAAAGATGAGTTTTAGGGATATAAAAGAAAAAGATCATTCTCTTGAAGCGTATTGTGAGACGACGAAATAAATAAATCTTGATGATTGCCATAAAAATAATAAATATTCGTATAACTGAACCAGGCAGAGTGCACTAGGAAGTACTTTAACGTTTTATCTGCCAGCTTACGAGTCCGCGTTGATTTTTCCAACGGTGAAAATTCACGAAATATCCAATCCCCTCTTTCAAATCTTGGCGTGGGCTTTCTTTCGGACAGGTCTAGATCACTTTTTGATCGTTTCTGCACTATCAGAGATTTTTTTCTAATCGGTTTTTCAACTCTCGTGCCACTCTTGGCAGGCAACGTATTAGATTTCAATGGCACGTGCATGATCTCACAACTTTTGACTCTTAAAGTGTCTCGCAACGCTGGTTTAGCGACTCTATATCCGGTCTGTGGTACATTTCTATAATTATGTGCAAATTTTCTAGCAGGACTACTTCCGGTTGACGATAGACTGCCACTTCGCGCCGTATTAATTCTCTCCAAGGATTTGCATACAGGTTTGTCAAAGTCTGGCTGACTAGTGAACTTTGACTTTTGAACAATTTCATCACAGCTCTTGGACATCTTTCTCGTTCTGATGAACGAATTTGGAAATTTTGTTTTTTCTGGTTCTTTCTCTTTATCTTTAGACAATTCCTCTCGCTCTGTGTCTGTTGTAACGTCATGAGATTCTTTTTTTATAATATTCGCTTCAGAAATTTCGCCATCGGATTTTAAATTATCTTTATCGCATTCATCCTCGCTTATAGATATTGTACTGCGTATAGTCACGTTTCCGCTTCCGTAATTTGGAGTGACCGATCGAATTTCAAATATATTGGCATTCTCGTTATTTATCTCGGGTGCTGATACCACCCTGGAGCAAGTGGGAAATATAAAGTATTTAGGGGAATCATTTGTGTTGTCCAAACTATCGAATTTCAGATGATCCGATGACATTAGATCTTTGAGAGACCAATATTTCTCCAACTTATTCATCTTTTCTGATATCTTAATACCTGGTGAAATATTTAAAGCATTTAGAAGATTAGGTAACGAGTGTTTTCGAAGACCTTCCAAACGCATAGAGCCAACCAATGCATGATAACTTGGTATACCGATAGAATTGATTCTGCTGTTGGTAACAGAACTATCTTCGAAGGATTCGGTCATAGTTTCCTTATCGGAATTCGAAGTTTTCCCATCGTCTGTAATTTCATAAATTTTATCACTTTTATCCGGTATAAATAGGGGCGCGTCGGTATTATCCAAATTTGTAAATTCCTTCAACTGTTCAATAATTTCCTGCTGTTCAGCCAGAGACAATTTCGAGTCGCTCTTTTTCAATTCACCCGGTTCCGTATCGGCGTCTGTATTACTCTCAAAATTAATATCCTCTGTATTCGTACTTTCATCTTTATTCATTACCTCGACATTTTTTCGCACTTCAATATCGTTTTTCGCCTGAATATCCAAAAGAATCATGCTCCACTCCTTCTCCGGCGTGGTAGCCACAGACTTGTCCGATTTTAGTAAATCGCTTTCAGATTTAAATTCCTTCGAGTTGCCACCATTTTTTCTCACCGTAATTTCCGGACTTCTTGGTGACGCAATATCCGGCTCGGAAACAAATTGTCTGGTCGCGACAAACTTCTTTGATTTGAATTTAATTAGGCCGGCTTCTCCCAATTTCGAAAAGTGCTTAGCCAGCGCGGCGACCCTTCCGCAACCAAGACGCACTTCTTCCGGCGATTTCCAACATTTATCAGTATTTGATTCCTCGCTGGACAGATCGCTATTCAAGCCGCTTAAGTCAAGATTTAATTCCGGCATTATTGTATGCATCTTCGGCGTCGAGATGATCTCCTTCATCTCAATTTCCTCCTGTTGACTTTCGACACTGTCAGAATTATTACTATCCTCCGTGGTATCTTGCAAATTGACATTTTCTAACTGAACGTTCATCTCGCCAGTGCACGGCACGTGAATCACGCCAATGGCTTCTGATAGGGAGCAATTGTCCTTATTGAATTCACTATTAATTAATTTCTCTCTACTAAATTGACTATCATGATTACGGCAACGACACTGACTGCCATCTCTTAACGGTACATCGATATTCCTTGATCTACTTCCGGTTCCGGGCCGACCAATTATTTCAATGCTTTTCAAGGATTTCATAGGAATTTTGTCTTCGACAATATTAAGATTATCTCTCAGCGAAGACTCATCGCACGACCGAACCTTTCTGTATAGCTGTGTCTTGTATTGCTCATTCAATACATCAATATGCAAACTGCTAGGATCAATAAACTCGGACGAATCCCTCGACTCGTAATCAGGACATTCTGAAATATCCTCAGCGAATATATTTTCCTTTGAGCGCATGAACGTGTCTACATTATCGTCTGGCTGATCTATATACGGTATAGTGGATTCCTCATCGAAGGAGGTAATTTTCCTGCCGAGAGTTTCACTCCTCTCGATGTTATCGACAGCATCGAGAGAACTCAGACTCTCCTGCGAGCGATTCTTGCATGGAAATATCAATTCAGTCTTGTCTTTACTATAGTAACCGTATTGCGGACCGATGACAGAATTCTGCGGCCGACATGTCTCTCGCAATGGATAAGGTGGATAACGTTCTACGTGGCTCGGAATAGTTAGGAACGTTTGATTAGGCTCATGAATAACAGGAATTTCGCGTCTACTCGGCCAATAATATCGTGGCCTTTGAAATTCATCGTTCAACGGTGCCTCCTTTATAGGACACATTGAAAGACATGACACATTCGCCGTCTGACGCGTTGACATTTTAGCCTGCGGCGACGGCATCGCGTAACAGTGTGACGTTGCTAAATTCTGATACGACTGACTGCCAATACTTGGCTGAAACTGACTAAAGTATTGCCTATCCTGGCTTAATGGCATTTGTGAAAATGTCCCCGCACCTGGTTGTATCTCTTCCACGTCCCAATCGACCAGACGCTCTTGATAAGCGGACTGTTTTGGTACGCATAAGAGATTGCCCATCGAGTGTGATGTGGATGGTTGGGGCGCCATTTCCGGTAGTCTGGGGGGCTCTAAGTGTTCCGATTTTGGGCGGGCCTTATGCGCTGCATGAAACAATCGTTAGTTTAAAAGCATTAGTCAAGCGACGCAAGTGTCCTCGTGAGACGATCGTTATATAATATTTTTTTAAAAACCACAGTCTTTTAACCAGAAAGCTGAAGAGGACAATTAACAATAGACAGAGAGAGAGAGAGAGAGAGAGAGAGGGAGAGAGAGAGAGAGAGAGAGAGAGAGAGAGAAACAGTGAAAACAGAGAGAGAAAGAGAATATGCAGAATAATTTAAGCACTTTGAAACGTTACAGTAAGCGAGCTTTAAAGCGATTCTGTCAAAGAGAAGCTCGAAGGCAAATTGATTTCTTTTTTTTTTTGGGTATCTTCTATAATACTTAAAATTCTTTCTGAGGACCATGTTGACTTTTTTTGTTCAAAGAGGATCACGGTAGATTTATCATCGTTCAGTTAAATTATTCAAGAATAAATATGGCTTCATGTACCTCTGGTCATGACGGGTGATGGCTGAGATAACAGCGTAGCTAATCCATGATAAATGGCTCCCTGTTTGGCAACTTCCAGCGTCACTATTGGACCCGTGCGAACAAGGTACTCTGCAGCCCTGTAGAAAAAAATTACCAAATATTTTTTAATATGAAACCTAAAAACCTAAAAACGTGATTTTTTAAAAGACAAGTGACACAGACCTTTCCTGAGCAATTCCAACGAGACTTTGCCCATCTACTTTGAGCAGTTGATCACCTGCCGTTAGTCTTCCGTCCTACAGAACAAATGAATAGACTAATAAAAGCAATAGTAGCAACGGGTATTTCATTAACTATCGATCCATTATGAATTTTTCGCGAAGACTTTTCAAACGTGCATCTCATCCACGTGGAACCTTTGATAAACACCGCCAACCCATGCACTTTATTTTCTTGAGAATGCATCGCACGCTGCAAAACAATGGATAATAGTTTACTCACGGCATCAGCTGCACCTCCAGCAACCACACTCTTGATGTAGATACCGAGTCTATCCTGTCCAGCACCCTGTGGCAAGGAGAGAACCACGATCAGCAAGTATAATAACGGTAAAAAGTGTTAAAAATGTCCGGCGAAGCAACGGGAAAAAAGGGGAGCATTGTTAGAGGAAGTGTATACTTAAATGTATTCCGTCTAGCGTGACAGGTGCCTTCATGCTTTGATGACCGCGTGGGAAAGCGTAAATAGTAGAGTTTACAGGTTGCGTTAATGAGAAATCAATTACCCAAACTCTTTTCGGTCAAAACGTTACCCTTTTCCCACAAATTTAAAGAAAGCCCTGAGAATTAGTTTCAAGAAAGAAAAGACCAGAGTGAAACTTACAGTGAGATACAGAACCAAAGACCGAACCGCACTGTACAATAATTGCATCCGGTTCGTCTATACCATATTGTAGTATGTAAGACAGAACCGGAATGGAACAGAGCCAGTGTGAGGATACCTTAATGGCATTAAGGTATATCAAGAGATAGAATCTTAGTGGCAAGGTATACACAGAGTTCTCAAGTCATACAACCTGAGAAACCAGTCTAACAACTACCCTTGGCAAAAAAAGACATACGACGCGTGTCATAGACGGGGTGTAAAAATGTCAAACTAGTTTTCTGGGGGAGGAAAGAAACGCCGGGTTAAAATCCATACCGTTAAGATAGATCGTGAAAGTAGCTGAATTCAATAATAGAAACGTACCTTTGCTGCAACAATACTGAGGCCCATTCCGTTCGTTGACTTGTGAAGTTTAATTACTTGAATTTCCGGTTGGCCTTGATTTTGGCTCATGTGTCCAGAATAACCACCGGATCTGTTGCTCATAGCACTGGGACTTCGAAGCTATACAGAAAGATTAATATTGGCAATCATCAATTTGGCTCTTGGCGACATATTAAATGCAACTGACAGTATTTGATCCGCGATTCTTACATTGTTATGATCTATCATGTAAATTGTCCAATATCCGCTGCTCGTTGGCTGTGGCGCCATTCGACAAAGACCATCCCTTTGTAGTGGTGCCAAAAATTCAGCCAAACCAGGCGGTACACCTCGAATAACTTCACAGCTGTAGCCATCTTTAGGTAAAAGTAAAGTTAATGCTAACGTGGGATCTTCCTCCAGTCGAATTTCCCTGCCGTCAGCTCTGGCTAAAGTATCCGCCATAGTCTCGGTGACCTAATTAATAAAGACAACTACTGTTCACATTTCGTATTGTCTCTTTGGCGTTAAACAAGCAAGGCAAATGTATTGAACAAAAATAAGAATTAAAAAATCATCGATCAACATACCCTGACGATATTTTCGATCAACTCAGCAGGCAATCTGGGCTCGTCATCAGCCGGTTGATATTTTTGAAGCAAAGCTCGTACTTGTAATGAATTTAACTTGTAGCACGTAGAACTCAGGGTCGCAAGTTCGTCGGCATTGTATTTAGGAGCTTGCAGTAGATGCGTCGCTTGCATAATGGTGGCCAAATGACACTGGCTAGCAAGTTCCAATCCCTGTCGCTCTGCCCAAGTTTCCAGCGCATTCAGTCTGATCTTAAGTCTACGACCGAACCACCTTACGCACAGGTTACCATTAGAAACCAGCGCATTGAACGCAGTCGCATTTATCGCGTGAAACAGATGGCTAAAAAGTTGAATAGTCAGGGCAGCGTTAACCCTGCAACGCCTCAGGAGTGCCATGGTATTCGAAAAGATTTGCAATACTCCAGCCTCCTTGGCCGGTTCGTCAGCATCGGCCATAAATTGCGACATTGCTGGTGCAAGTTCCAGAGAAACGCAGCGAACCAGAGACGCGAATGCAGTGTGAACTGCATCAGCAAGAATATCTTGTGCTCTCGTTGAGAATGCGCCAACGTGTCGATCGCTTTTTAACATATGAAGCAATTCCGAGCCATTCGCTAGCCAGAGAGCCAGTGAGGAAGCGTCCATGTAACGTTCCTAATAACAAATATTTTACCTTTACAAAGTTCCTGCGTAATCTGATAATGTTTTCGAGATTTCATAACACATATTCTTATGTTGTATTTATATTTTTATAAAGTTACGCTCACCTGTATCACTCTTTGTATCATTGTGGCAACGTTGGCCAGCATAACGGTCAATCTATGGGCCCTTTCCGTGGGCTGTAATTCGGGCCTGTAGTGAGTACTGGCCCTGTATCTCGCTGCAAGGTACAAAGTATAGGTTGGCGCCAATTTGAATTGCGGAGCTGAAGGTTCCACATCCGTAATGACCGCATGTAGAAAAGCCTCTTCCGTTTCCTCGAGGAATTCCAAAACCGCTGGAAGAATGGGGTCGTTGCCTCTGGGATGTCTGTCGTACTGGGAGAGTCTGTCAATCATATAATTTAAAATTTCATTAGAAATTTAAAAGGAACAAAGTTTCAGTAGAAAAAAAAAGGATAATTAAAATCTCTCTAAAATTGTTTCAAAATAATGCATAATCTTGAAACGTCATTTCCAGAAACCAAAACAGACATCTATGTATACGTCAACTGGTGCTAAGAGACCTACCTCGAGATGCACTGATATTCTCATCTTTGATAATTGACCTAGTACGTATTAATAGCATTACCTGTTCCCATCTCGACTACTAGTCAGACTAGCAGTCTCAACATTTCCATCAAGGTCAAACGTCGTCTCATAGTTATGTGTGGTTTCTGGCGTATTAGCATTGTGAGTGGGACTTCTGGGACTTGCTGGATTCTTCGTCGGACTCGGAGGATTCGATCCGCGACCATCGTTGGGTGTACCGGAACCGGATCGATACTTTTCTGAGCTAATTTCCTGGCTGGTAGCATCTGGCGAGCGTCTATGTATCGAGCCACAAACGTGCGAGACGCAAAGCGCAAGAAGGAATAAGAAAAAAAAAAGAAAATATAAATAAATTAATAAAAATCGAGTCAAGCTCAATTACTCGGTGCTCCACTGCATACCGCTACGAAGATGCAATTTATTATTAAATGATTAAAATATTTTAACTATATATTACTCGCATGAAAATGTATTCTCACGCTACAGATAATTAAAGACAAAGACTTTATTGATCTCTGTGTGAAACTGTGATGGGCGGTGCTCGCCAAGCTATTAACAACGAGAAAATAATTGTTTGGATATAACTGAAAATCCATTCACTGGATCGAAGGCTTTGATCGAATCTATTGTTATGTCACTATGTACGTAAAAGTTCAATTGTTAATGGCGAATATCGGTCAAGCATTATGCGACTAACAACATAGAATATTAAAGAATAAATAAACGAATAAAGTAGACAACAATCAATAATAATTAATATAAAGTAATTTACCTGTCATACGAATAATCCAATTGCCTGTTAGAGTCGTGTCGCTGTCTTATCCGATCCTCTGGTGCAGGATCTATAAACCTGAACGTATGCATCCTACCGAACTTTATTATAGCTCCATTCTGAAACAAATAATATGATTATGTTTCACCGCTATTGAGATATGATAAATACCCATACTATTATTATCAAACAGTAACGATACCTCGTAGCTCAAGAAATAATAAAGCACCAATCTAATAGCCATATCAGACTGATTAAATAAACGGCCAAATAAGGCTTTCAGGAAGCTCTAGCGCGGAGAACATTAGGAAAGAAGGAAAGAGAATAAGAAAATCCCATATATTTTTATCTGTTTCACCTTGAGGATCGTCGTCTGATATATCCTATGGTTGTCAACATAAGTGTGGGCGTCTTTCGAGTATGGCGTGAGGGTAACGATATTGTCGGTAAAGGCGATCACACAATGTCGGTCCATCACCGTCGACCCACTGAGTATAAGAGTTTGACCTTGAACAGCCTGAGGCCCGATGCGTCTATCGGAGCCGACTTCCGTTACGTTTGGCTGAAGTCGATGACGCATCCCGGCACCGTTCGGTATATCAGTACCGTCTGGATTTAATTCCACCAGAAATGGTAGCCTCTCGTCTTCATAACGATGATCGAGCTCGCTCCACTTCCCGGCCGGTTTCTTCTTCCGCTTCCGGGGCACGTAGTCGGCTGGTCTTCTTCTTACGTGGAACATTATAGAGCCTGCAAACAAAGTTGAGAAAACGCATCGTTAGTAACTCCTTTAATTGAATATTCTGCCAATTTAAGATGCTATACAATTGCGGCAATCGTCAAGACGTTCAATTATCGATAATTAATATAAAAGAGGACAGGTTATATATAAAGGAGAACAGACACGTATAACACTTGCTGAAAGATATGAAAGAGGATTTTATTTCCGTTTTTTAAATGAATAAGTAATACCACATAAGATGCATGTATAGTATACATGGCCGGGTAGAGTAGCTTGAGGTGGACGGAACATAAAAGGAACAAAGAACTTAGGCGCCCTTAGATTCTACTATAGACTGTTAAGAGGTTACGTGAAGGTAGCCACTATCTCTCTCGCACGCTCTTTATTGTATGATATTTCTTTTCCTATCTCATAGATTTTCCAGTGACTGAACAAAGACAAAAGTCTGGCGTATCCGATGACGATGCTCAACGAATAGAGGGACAGATACGCTTCTGTAAGCGAGGTAAACGGATCCTCCTTGACCGATCGAGCATCGAGAAATCGCTGCCTTGAAGAAAATAACTATAAATTACGCAACGCGGAAACCCCTTTTATATAGTTCGACATACGGGAATTTTATTAAGAAGGCGTGTGCAATGCTTGTGGAAGCGGAATATGAAAGCCACCATACCGAAACAGCAGGTTCTGGTCGATCGTCTCGCCATTTTCTTTTTTTTTTCTCTCAATTAATTGACAACTTGTAAGAATTAGAAACTCATGGTCTGTCGTCTTCTTTTTCACGTCGGCAGATCGTTAGCCTGATTGTACGTATAAAAGCCACAGAACGTACTAGAAAATGATATAGCATAATATTAAAATATAATATTCGTAAGCAGGTATATGCGCGCAGGAAAGAATGACGCGGCCGAAGTCACGGACGGTATTCGTGAGACTAAAAATAAAAGCACGAGGGGCG